GAGCAAATCTTAAAAAAAATTAAAAGCAACAGTAATAAAAATGGGATGTTTATTTTTGCCTTTGTATTAATAACAAATCGTTTCTTTTTCCTTTTTTTTTTTTTTTTAAGCGGTTTTTTTGCTATAGGACGCATGTGCTTGCCAGAAAGACAGAGAGACAGAATGCGAGAAATCACTCCCGAGGGGGGATGGCCACACCACAATCCCTTCTCCTCCATTCTCCTCTCAGGATCTTGGGCACGCACACACACGCACCCACCGTGAGTTTAAGCCACAGGTCCGGGACTCGAACACATGGGAGTCCAGTGACATAGCCATTATGCCAGCCTGCTGGTCCTGAATAACAAATCATTTCAAAGGCCTTTTCATAAGCACTGCCTTGTGCTCACAGCAGCCTTGTAAGAGGCAGTTGCCCTTGAGGAAATGGCCTGAGTGCCAGTTGTCTGCTTCACGTTTGTGTTCCCCCTTTGACTTTAGTCTCCTTGTCTGCAAAATGTGGGCATCAAAGTTGATGTGTACAAAGCACTGCCGATGAAACAACCTCCAGTAGCCCTAGGAGATGGGCTAGATGGGCTCCTTTCCTTCTTATTTTGAGAAAAAAACAGTCTCAGAGGAGTTAATGACTTGCTAGATATTCTACAGCTTGTAGGGGGCAGGGCCCCAGGGATCATGTCCGTGTCTGACTTGGAGTGACCAACTGTCCCAGTTTTGCTAGGGACTCACCTGGATTTAGCACTTAAAATCCCATGCCCTGGAAAACCCTTCAATCCAACAAAACCAGGACTGTCAGAACTGTTGGTCACTCCGGCTAGAACCCCAGAAGCTGCATTTCTGACAGAGTCCCAGGTGATGCAGATAAATATTTCTCTGCTGGGCCCACAGACTCATTCTCATGATAGAGCACTCTGAGAAAAAGTCCAAGTGTTGTCCCGTTGAGGAAGTGGGCACCGAGGACCTTGATGATGACTTGCTGGGAAGTCACAGGTACTCCAAGGCTTATAAGCCTACACTCACTCCTCACTGCCAGCTTGTCCCTCATCTGCTCCTGCTCTGAAGCCTGTGTGTGTCTCAAGAGTACCACGTGAGATGGAGCTGCCCTGCGATCTTGGCACAGGTGTCCTCAACCACAGTGCAGCCACCAGCCCCCAGAGCTCTGGAAGTATGAGAGCAGGCAGTCAGAATCCCTCTGACCCCTCTTGTTCTTTGTAGGAACTTTTCTGTGTTTGTGGAGCCCTCAAGCGGGCTCGGCTGGTCCATCCTGGGGTAGCGGAGGTGGTATTTGTGAAGAAGGATGATGCCATTGCTGCGTATAAGAAGTACAACAACCGATGTCTGGACGGTAAGTTGGGGAGAAAGAAGCCACCTTAACCTCTCTGCTCTGCTCACTATCAGACAGCATTTCTCGGGTGGATGGAGGGACATCATAATACAGTCACCCCTCCAGGGCCTCCCGTGCACCAAAAACAGGAAGGTTATGCAGTCTCAGAGTAGTGCCATGAGTTCCAGAGAGCCTCCGGTTTTCATCCTGAGCTTAAGTCCAATAAGAAGGGAAACACCATTTCTCTGTGGGCAGGTCTTATAGGGTCTTGCCAGAGAAGCCAAGAACCACAGCCTTCCCCTTCCAGATGTTGGTCTAGGGGAACATCTGGACACCAGTTCTCCAGAGACTGGAGCCTTCCTGTGTACACGGCACCTGGGTGAGCTCTGTCTCTAGTGTTACTGCACCTAGTAAATGACTGACTTTATTACAGACAGGTTCATGCTGTTTCTCAGGGTGGCTGGTAGAGGGAACTCTGACTACCATGCTCCTTTTGTCCCCACTCATTTCTTTTTTTTTAAGAATTATTTTACATTTTTGGGACCAGCAGTTAGTGTAATGGCTATGTCACGACTCCCACATAGTTGACCGCGATTTGAGTCTCGGACCCGGTGGCTTAAAATCACACCGGGTGCATGTGCATGTGTGCCCAAGATCCCGAGAGGAGAGTGGAGGAGAAGGGATTGCGGCGTGGCCATCCCCCTTTGGGGGTGATTTCTCGCTTTCTATCCCCTGTCTTTCTGGTGAGCGCACGCCCCCAATAAGAAAAAAAAAAACCTCTCAAAAAAAAAAAAAAGAATTATTTTACATTTTTTATTTTCTAAGATTTATTTATCTAACTTTATTTACTAATTCATTTACTTAAATTTGACCAGAGAGAGTGAGAAAGCAAGCCACCAGGTCCAGGACTTGAACCATGGTTGGCCATGTGGGAATGTTGAGCACCTTAATCAACATGCCACCTGCTGATCCCCAATAATTATTTTATTAATTTTTTATTCATTATTATTATTATTTAAATTTAACCAGCAAGAAAGAGAGAAAATGAGAAGGCAAGCTGCCAGGTCTGGGACTTGAACTGTAGTCGGCCATGTGGAAGTCTAGCCCCTTAACCACCATGCCATCCGCTGGCCCTCATTCTTTTTCCATGTATGTTGCATACCTGCTGTAGACTGAGACCCTGTGCCAGAAGTGCAGAAGCAGATACTAATAAACCATAGTTAATTACAGAGTGCAATTGTGCCTGCCAGAGAGGAGAGAGCACACCCCCCAGTAGGGCATGGTCTGACCCAATAGGTCATCCTTTCTGCACCATTTCTCTATCCATTTTGGGAGTGCATGTGTGTCTAATGGGACTCAGGCTGCCAGGGCCAGGTCTCAAACTGTGTTTAACCATATGGAATCTGAGTCCCGGCACATAGCATTTAACCTCTCTGTACCTTGAGGCCGGCTCTGTAGTGGAGCCTTCCTTGTCTAAATGTTGGCTTGCTACTTGGCCAGCCTCTTTGTCTTTGTTTTTTTTTTTTTTTTTGTTTTTTTTAAATTGTTGACATAGGTTGTGTGTGCTTTCTGGAGAGACAAGTGAGGGAAAGTGAGAAATCACCCCCCAGAAAGGATGACAGTCTATTATTCTCCACTCTTGGGATTTTAGACATGGCGCACACATGCCCAGCGTGTGTTTCAGGCTGCTGAGTCCAGAACTTGAACCTCAGAGCCAGCCATTTGGGATCCAGTGAAATGCCACTTGCTGGCCCCAGCCCATCTTTTTTAATGTTTTTACAGCACTGTATTTTTCTCTCCTGCTTTGGTTGCATTCTGTATGACTTATGATATCATGTCTTTATTTTTGTTCATCTATGTATTTTTAATTTCCCTTGTAATTTCTTCTTTGATCTGTTAGTTATTTAGAATTGTTTTGCTTCATGTTTTTACACAGTCATGTCAATGACAGATACATTTACAGAGATACTTCTTTTTTCTTAGAGAGGTTTTTGCTATAGGGCATATGCGCTCACCGAAAAGACAGAGAAAGAAAGCGAGAAATCACCCCCCAGGGGGGATGGTCACGCCGCAATCCCTTCTCCTCCATTCTCCTCTCGGGATCTTGGGCACGCATGCACACACGCCCAGAGTGAGTTTAAGCCACCAGGCCTGGGACTCGAACCATGGTCGACTACATGGGAGTCCAGCAACATAGCCATTACACCAACTGCTGGACCCTACAGAGATACTTTGAGAAACCCATTTTCTTAGGCATTTTTGTTCTGTGAACATCATAGAGTGTGCTTATACAAGCCTAAATGTTAACCCACTGCACATTTAGGGTATATGCTCTTCTTACGAGATCACTGTTGTAGTTGACCAAATGTTACATGGTGCATGACTGTATTTTGAATTTTCTAAACTTTCCTCTGTTCTGTTTGTCTTATATTCGTACAGTTACCCCAGCTTTCTTAGAATTGCTCTTTGTTTATTTTTTGTGATCTTTGGTCTAGGACTTGCACTGCATTTGGTCATGTGGGAGTCCAGCGCCTCACCACGCCACCTGCTGGCCCCTATTTATTTTTTATTTGCTATAGGGCGCTATTTGCTATAGGATACTTGTGTTCAAAAGGAGATAAGGGTGGAGAGGATAGAAAGAGAAAGTACCTCCTGGGGCAATACGCCGCAATCTCTTCTCCATTTTCCTCTCAGGATTGGGGGCATATTTGCACATGTGCCCAACATGTTTTTTGTTCTTTTTGGTTGGTTGTTTGCGTTTTTCTTTTTTTAAGGTTTTTGCCATAGGGCACGTGTGTTCCTTGGAGAGGAGAGACAGTGAAAGATAAAGTAAGAAATCGCCCCCTGAGGGATGGCCACATTGTGATCCCTTCTCCTCCATTCTTGTCCTGGGTTTTTTGGGCATGCATACTCATGCCCCTGGCATGATTTTCAAGCTCCAGGTATGGGACTTGAACTGTGGTTGGCCATGTGGGAGTCCAGTACCTTTAGCACCATGCCACCTGCTGGCCTCCCAATGTGTTTTTCTAGCTGCTGGGTCCAGGACTCTAGCTATACAGTCAGCCATGTGGAATCTAGCTGTCTTCACCACCGCACCACCTGCTGGCCCATTTTAATGATTTTTTCTTTTTTTTCTTTTGAGAGGTTTTTCGCTATAGGGCGTGTGCGCTCGCCAGACAGAGAGAGACATAGAGACAGAAAGCGAGAAATCACCCCCCAGGGGGGATGGTCATGCCGCAATCCCTTCTCCTCCATTCTCCTCTCGGGATCTTGGGCACGCACGCACACGCGCCCGGCATGAGTTTTAAGCCACCGGGTCCAGGACATGAACTGCGGTCGACTACGTGGGAGTCCAGCGACATAGCCATTATGCTAACTGCTGGTTCCCGATTTTTTTTTTTAACTATATATTTCTAATCACTCATGGTTTCTAAGAGTTTTGTAACGCACTTTGTAACTTATCAGAATCTAATTCATATTAATAATAGCTTAATCCTAGTAACATATACAGTGGGTCTTCAGAAAATTCATGGCAGTGTGTTACGAAAAATATATGAATGGATTTTAAAAAATTTTTGCACAGAAATAAATTTGTACTTTAATTCCATTTTCCTACAAACTTTCTGAAGTCCCCTCGTGAAAATATTACATTAAATTCCGTAACTCTTCCCTGTTTTCTTTTTTGTATTTGAGAGAGAAATTTTTGCTGTAGGCCATGTGCACTCACCAGACAGAAAGCACAAAATCACCCCCCGGTGGGAGATGGCCATGCCACAGTCCCTTCTCCTCCATCTTCCTCTTGGGATTTTGAGCATATACGGACATGCACATGGAGTTTTGTTTCTGTTTTTTGAGAGGTTTTTGCTATAGGGCGCGTGCGCTCACCATAAAGACAGAGAAAGAGAGAGAGAAATCACCTCCCAGGGGGGATGGCCATGCCACAATCCCTTCTCCTCCATTCTCCTCTCAGGATCTTTGACATGCACGCACATGCACCTAGCGTGAGTTTAAGCCACCAAGTCTGGGACTCAAACTGTGGTCGGCTACATGGGAGTCCAGCGACATAGCCATTATGCTACTGCTTATCCCATACCTGGAGTTTTAAGCCACTGGGTCCAGGACTCGAACTGCAGTCTACCATGTGGGAGTTCAGCACATTAACCACTATGCGCACCTGCTGCCCCCGCCTCCTTGTTTTCATGTTGTCACTGTTGTACATATCACATCTTGTGTAGAGTGGGAGTATAGTCCTAGAGCAGTGAATCCTTTACGGATGGAGCGAGAGTCTCTGCTACCTTTTCAAATCCTCTGCTCACTAAATTCCACAGCCTAGACCTCTTCCCAGACCACTTGGACACCAGCAAGGTGAATGGGTCCCCACCAACTGCGGTTTGTGCCTCATGTCCACTTTCCACCTCCTGTGTTATCAGGGCAGAGATGGCTTCTTGGTGCCCTGTTGCTGAGACTCGGGTTTCTCTCAGTGTCTGGGCTTCGCTGGACCCTGACCCTGCCTGTCCCAGCTGTGGAGCTAAGCTGCCGGTGCTGGGGGGTCAGCCCAGGTGGGCAAGTAGGTGGCAGTCCTTGTCCTGTGTGAGGAGCTCAGGTCTCAGGGCAGAGTCTTTTCCTTCTGTGGTTTTGCAGGACAGCCAATGAAGTGCAACCTTCACATGAACGGGAACGTCATCACCTCAGACCAGCCCATCCTTCTGTAAGTTCCACCGGCGGGTGGGGAGCGTTTCTGAAGTCATTGACTTTTTTTTTTTGGAGAGGTTTCTGCTACAGGGCGTGTGTGCCAGAAAAACAGACAGAGAGATAGAAAGCAAGAAATCACCTCCCAGGGGCATGGCCACGCCGTAATCCCTTCTCCTCCATTCTCCTCTCAGGATCTTGGGCATGCACGTACACCCGGCGTGAGTTTAAGCCACCGGGTCTAGGACTCAAACTGTGGTCGACTACATGGGAGTCCAGCAACATAGCCATCATGCCAACTGCTGGTCCCTGAAGTCATTTACTTTTTGTGGCTGTGCCCTGTCACTTGGATGGCCAGGACGCCTATACCCAGCTCTCCTGCTCTGTGTCATTTCCTCTGTCTGGTGGCAACTAGTTAGTCAAGGCACTTAAATTTGAACAAAGTGGAGGTCTTGTCATCACCCCAGTGGCTGACTCTAGAAGATTAGCATTATACTTTGTCCTCAGCCTTATAATTTGAAAGGTCTGAGACCAAGTGGAGAGCAGGCCCTTCATGTTCCCCCACTGCCCAACCAGCACGTCAGCCACACGGACACAAAGCTTCACCACCTTGTTGTTGCTTCTGCCGGGGACCATCTGATGGCAGGTGCTGCCCTGGCCTGGGCATATGCCAGCCAGGACTGAGGACTTTCTTAGAGCTTGAAGCGTGTAAAATGTGTGTTGAGACTGGCAGGACATCATTTTCTAGATGAGGAAGCAGATATCCAGGGGACGGTTAGACTTGACAAAGTGGGAAGGATCTGCAGAGCAGGCCCAAAATTGACTCTGAGATTTAGAAAGAGCCAGGATTCGAGAACTGGGTAGTAAGTTACGTGACTTAGATAAGCTTTTTACACTGCATTCCAGGAATGAGTTGTATTCTAAAAACAGGTCTTCGAGTTTTGTGACCTAAGTTTGAGAACCACTGGGGGAAAGCGTTACTTCGCTTTCTGTCGTGC